AGAGGACAGCATTCAGGTGGGGAGAACGTGTTAAAAGGATCCCAAGTACACTCAAGGATGTTTGGTTTTGATTAGAAGATGAGGATTAACTGGATTAATGGAGCCTCATGGATGGAGAATGTGCAGATGCTAATTGCCTCTAAATTACAGTGGATTCCATTGGAATTGTGTATTCCTCTCCACAAACCCAACCACCGCCTGCCTTCTTACTCTCCCTCCCTCTCTCCCCACACAATGCTAAAATGAATGTGTCATTGTAACTGAGATGAAAGGCCTTGAAATTGATTTTCTACTTCCTTCCAAGATCTCTTGTTTGCAAAACACAGGAAGATCTAAGTTACTAATCGAGTTCTAGCTTATTTCAAACAAACAAACAAAAAATGTGTTCTAGGGATTCAGGTTGCTGGAAGCCTTTTTCAAGCCCTCATTTCTTGCTTGGTTTCTCTGACATACCAGTTAAATCAGTGGTTCTCAAAGTTGAGTGCATATCAGAATTACTTGGAAACTCTGTTAAAACAGATTGCTGGGCCCCACCCCACAGTCTCTGATGCAGTAGGTCTAAGGAGAAGACCCAAAATTTGCATGTCTAACAAGTTTCCCTAATGAAAGTGATAGTGCTGGCCCAGGGCCACCCTGTGAGAACAAATGAACTAGGAAAATACCTAAGTATTTTAAGGAACCTGGTTAACAAAAAGAGTGCAAACCTCAAAGTCTTTCTGTCTTTGTGTCTTCTTGGAGAAAGAGGTACAATCACTCAGAATTCAAAAAGTATTTACTGTTTGTTTCCTAAGTCAGCTATGCATAGATGCTCTTGGATTTGATAAAGCTTATGGGTAGCTTATGGTATCAACTCACTTTGCTGTTGCATGGGAAATGCAGAGGAATTTGCAACCGGGCTGTTTTCTCCCTGAAGTTCCCATCCAGTCCTCCTCTTGTCTGGTTTGCACACCCCATCTTCTGTTGATCATATATGTCAGTAGTGTTTGCCACAGCCATCACACACCTCCAAACCCCTGAACACTCCCTTTGCCTTGCAGCCACCAATGTGTCCAGTCCTATTCAGAATTTATTTATAGATCACTTTAGTGCAAGGCCTGGACTGCGTTTGCTAATGTTTCCAAAATTTTGCAAAGCACTGGACAGTGAATCAACAGATTTCTGGTTCTAGCTCTTGCCTTGCCTCTAGCTTACCATATGATTGTCAAAAAAATACTTAAACCTCTGGGTAGGATTTTACTCATTAATTAAAGGAGAGAGTCAAGCTAGCTTAGTCATTCTCTTCCTTTAGAAGAAAACAAAAATGAAATGTCTGGACCTCTTCCCAGGAAAGTGGACATGTGCAAATAAATGCAAAATATTGCTTACAATTGTTAGACTGCCTGAATGTAGTAATAACAAGCAATGATGATTGCAGCATTTATTGAGTACCAACTATGTGCCAGGCATTGTACGTTGGCACTTTACATGTATTATCGTATGTAATCCTTGCAAGAAACCTAGGAGGTTATAATACCCGGTTTCTAGATGAGAAAACCATGCAAAGGCAAGAGAAAAGACAAGAAGTAATTCATCTCAGTTCACCCAGCTGGTAAGCGCAGAATGGGATTTGTGGCATCTTACACAGCCCGGAAGCTGACCAGTGTCCCCTGGGACATGTACGATACTGAGTTAAGAGTATACCCAATTCTAGGTGATATTTCCAAGTCCCCCTGAGCTCTGAAGTACATAATTCACAGATTTTTTTTTTCTGGTTACTATTAACCAAACATTCAGAGAAATAACCCCTTAAGGCTTCTGTGCATCAGAGATGGTCACAAAGTTTAGAATCTAAAGAATATTTGGGGATTAAACTCAGAAAAGCAAGTCACCACAGTGTCACACTTCTGTCCTTTGTGGGTGTCTTGAAAATGAATGCTTTCTTATCGTCGTTTCTGACCAGAGGCAACTTCCTTTAAAGGCAAAAGGAAGCAGCCCGTCTTAGCTCCAGCAGGTCAGTAATGTGACGAGATAAAGGGCAGTTCCTTAATGAAAACCACTCTGCCTCCTGCCAGCAAAGGAGTTTTCTTAGTGCATTTCAAGTCCTCTAACACCTCTTCCCAGATCAATGGCTTTTCATAAATGCACCAGGAGATCTTTGAACCACTAATGCTTCAGGGGCTGTTTAGGTTTGGAGTCAAACTGTTTAATATAACTCTCCTCCAAGTCTGGCTCTATTGAAAGGTCTCAGGAAGCAAGGCGGGAGGAATGTATAAAAAGCAGAACCACTGTGGCCAAGTGACGTCCCCCGCCTGCCTCAGCCTTCTGTTTATACAAGCAAATTGGACCAGGCTTATTGCATTCAAGAGGGGGAAGGAGGAATGAAATGGCATATGGGTCATGGTGGAGAGTTGAGTGAAAAGGAATCAGATTAAAAGTGGCTTTTGATTGGAGTGGAGTAAGTCATTTGCTTAGGAAGCAGGGAAAGCCATTGATTGGCTTCATCAACGGATTAAGTCATCAACAGATTAAGTACTACAATAAAAACTGCATTGTGCTGGAGAAGTACGGGCCAGACTTCTGCATGTTGCTGGGAAAATGAATGCCATTTAATTTAAATACTTGTTTAAACACTTACACTAGAGGAAGTGTCTTTTCAAAAGGGACAGGACTGTGAGCATCAAGAAATATTATAACAAAGACCGGACTTTCTTTTATCCAAAGCTGTTCCCACACTGGCTTACTCTAAGCCCATGGTAGAAATGATAAAATCATCAGAAAGGTGGGCATTTTCTGAACGTAGCCTGTGCAGCACTGTGCTGTGTGCTTTACCTCATCTACTGTTACTAACTCTACTTTCAGATGGGAAAACTGAACCCCAGGGCACATGAGCAACTTGGCCAATATTACACCAATCTGGGATAGGCACCTCAATTTTCTTTTACTCAACCACCATCCTAAGTCTGCCTACCCATGGAAACGTGGTACACTGTCATCTACTGTCCAGTTCTTTTAATCCTAAAGATCTATGACTTAGCGGTAAATTTCATGTTATTCTGTACAATATCCCCTCATTTAGACTTCAAGCCCCCTGAGGGCAGGGACCATGTAGTTTTAAAATTTTGCCTTCCCCCACAGTGCCTGGTACAGTAAAGACCTGATCCCTATCCTTTATTCTTAAAAGTCAATCTAAAAGTAGCTCTAGGGTTTTGGTGTGTGTGTTTTTTTTTTTCTGATTATAATGTTCATACATGCCCACTGCATAAAATATTGTTTTAGGTACCAAAATTATATAAAAATTTAAAAAGCCAGCAGAGGTAACAGTCATTAACATTTCAGTATATAGCCTTCTACTCTTTTCCTTATATACATACACATGTAAAGATATACTTTAAATAGGATTATGCTATACATGTTGTTTTGTAGGCTGATTTTCTTTCTTCTTCTTTTTTTTTTTTTCGCTAAGAATACGTCGTGGGCATCTTTCCATGTCAATAACTCTAGATCTTCAGTAGTTTGTATATTGTACTCTTGCATGACGTTCCATTGTGTGGTTGTGTCATGATTCACTTAGTCCACAGTTGATGGACTTGGGTGGTCCCTGATATTTTCTTGTCTCTGCAAAGATAGAGCAGACTTGATCCTCCTCTTTCAGTTCTTGTTCTTGACCCAACTTCTTCAAAGCGTCGCACCCACCACATTTGCTTGAATTGCAGTTCTCCCAGAAATGGCAAAACAACATACTTTATCTATTTCAGGATGCCTTCATATAATTTCATTTTTAATATAAAAATTAGGCTGTAGCATTTCCCTTAGAACAGAAGGAAGTCACAGGTGTCCGTTTCTGATGCAGTTTGCAGAATGTCCTAATCTCCTCTCCTGCTGAGCCCCTCCCAGGGAGTCACCACACTTGGGAGCTTAAGAGTCATTTTCATAAATACCTCATCTATGAAATTGCTGTGGACAGTTAATAAACCCAGGGTCAAAGGCTAATGGATGCCAGCAAGAGCATGGGGAGAGGAGACAGGCTGGTGATTTGGGGATTTGGGAAATTAGCCACTCATCTTTTAGGCATCCTGGGAAATCACAGGTGGCTATAGCTATGCAAGGGCCAAGCCAGGTATAAAGGCAGAACGAGGGGAGGGTTCTGGATGGTAGTAATAGATAATACTAAGTGCAGGCCCTGGGAGCCTTATTTATTATTTTCCATCAGCCAAGTGAAGGCAATTTTTAGATTTAGAGTTTTTCTGATGAACTGTCACCATGGTGATGGAATTGGAAATTCTTTTTCTGACAACATTGCTGTTAAACCATTTGTTTAATTATTTGCATACCATGACTCTAGGAGGCCCCTAGAGCTGTGTGCTTCTCTCTGTACACAAAAGAGTTGATCTCAGGCATCTCTTAGGTGCCTTACAGCAGAGAGATCCATGTTCCCTGTATGCCTGGTCTCTACGAGGTATGGAATGTGGCTTCTGGATTCCACAGAATTCATCTTGCAAAAGACATTCGTGGGAGAACAAGATGGAGCAAGGAATTTACCATCTGTTTTGGGAAAATGGTTTTGAGCCTCTCTACCACTTCTCTGGACCCAGTGGGTTTGGTTTCTTGCACATCACATCTAAAGAATCACCTATAGGCCAGAGATGTTGGAAGGAGACTTTCAGTAAGCACGATCTTCTGGTACGAGCTGGGAACTCTGAAGTCTCAGTTGCCTTTTCTATTATGGGACTGGAGCCATTTCTGAATTCATCCCTTTCCTTCCCTGAGTAATAGTTTCCTTAAGATTCCAGATGGATTCAAGATATATATGTATATTTTTTAATCCCCTCTCTTAACTCTCCAGCTGACTCCAGAACTATATCCAGAAAGGTCTCTTGTAAACACCCCTCCCTTATTTGGGTCCTGGTTATCAGGAGAGAATGAAATTGGTTCCTGACTCTTTCTATACTTTGCCCTGACCCACACTTCCATGCAGACCTGGTCTCTGAAAAATTACCAGCCCTAATCATAATGAACAGTGTCCCAATGGAAAGTAATTTAATTTTGCAAATTGTTATCCAAGTCGTGAGGGTTGGAGGTGTCTGAAGACTTTGGGAGTGGCAATTGTTCTCTAACCCTGTGGTCCTGCGAGGATGCTGTGAACCAGGGCAGGAGTTTCTTCGAGCTGAACCAGTGTCTTCTCCTTCTGCCTTGTCCTTATTTTGTCTCTTTCCATGCTATTCTTCCTTAAAGACAGGCAAGGGGGTTGGTGGATTCCAGGCTGTTATCACCCAGCTTCTGGAGGATGTGGTGCGTGTGACAGCTTGGGCAAGGCACAGAGCCCAGGCTGTGTGTGTCACACTCCGTTCCCACTGACAAACACTGCTGCTCGCCTCCCTGTCCAAATCTGATACCACGTATGTTCTCCCCATCCTGCGCTGTTGCTCTGGAAACCAAGGAAGCAGCAGGATATGGGGTAGGATCATGACCGAGTCAACCTTAAAAGTCTCCCAGACGTTTCAGCAACTTCCAGTGGGGAAAAAATGCACCCACACCCTCAACCCAGTGAGAAGTTTTTGACAGCTTTCTCTCTCCCCAGTGGAAAAGTTTGCCTTCCGAAGTTAGAGAATGTCTCTGCCCACAGCTTATGTTGTGGGCAGGGTAGTATATTGGATGAAGATTCAAACTTCAGAATCTCAGGCAAATTCCAGCTTTGCTGCCCACTAGGTCATGCACGTAACAAATAAATAAGAGCTGTTATCTCATCCCCTTCAAATGCCACTCCGCTGCCTCCTAGGGTGGGCTTGCCATCTTGCAGCCTCCATGTTGCTGAGTTCCAGTACTGTGTTCACACTCAGTGATCTGCTCTTGGGATTAAGTTTCTGGCTCAGAGGCTTACCAGCTGGGTTTCTGGCATGTTCTTCACCTTTCCGGTCCTCCTACTAGTTATTCACAATAAGGCAATAATTATGCCTACCTCAAAGCTATGTTTTGAGAAAGAGAATTGCATACATGAAGTCCATAGCTCAGGACACCACCCCAATATGACTGGCTGGCAGAATGACACTCTCCAATTGTAGCGTGCAAATGTTTCCACTGGGAAGAAAAAAGTGTTTCTCTCTTTCCCCAGCCTCAATCTTTCATTCCTTTCCAAAGACGTATCTGAGCTTATAATACCAACTCACCTCTGTCTTTAGAGATAGATAAAAAGAGTTATAAAACTCAACCCCTGACCCCATATCCCGCTCCCATACACACACCCATCTCAGCTCTATTACCTTTGCTGGCACCATGCAGGTAAGCCCTTCAATACGGTGGAATGCCGGCGGGGGAGCCTCGGAGTTTAGGGCAAAGAAGATGGGTTGAGGATTTCAGAAGAGTAAGAGCAGACAGCTGGGGTGTGAAAAGGAAAAAAAGAACAGAGGGTAGAAATACAAGAGGAATGAGGAAGAGAGTGAGCAAGGAGAATGGCCCTAGGAAGTCAGACATCTCCGAGGTCCGCAGAAGTCTGGGGAGAGTTGACTGTAGGCCTCTTCTCAAATGCACACATCCTCCAACCCAGAGGCCCAGAGTTGTTTCGAAAACAGATAACAGAGCTTTACTCCTACAATTATCCTTTTAATAAAAATTCTACCCCTTTTTTTTCTTTGAATAGAGTCCTAAAAATTTTTTACACACACAAAAAAGCTATTTTTCAAAGTAACAGAGGAAACCAAACCCCAAACCCACCCATGCTACTGTGCTCACTCCCCTGCGTAGCAGCACTAGGGCCTCACAGAGGAAGTCACACCAAAGCCTGAGTGTTCGGGATCTCCAGTGTGTTGGCATTGTACCTAGTTATATGCATGAACACACTTGTGCAATTCCCAAAGAAAAGGACATCCAAAATGATTTTTTAAAAAAATGACTGTACGTGTAATAATAACCTGATTAAGAAAAATAGCATGCTTGGATAAGGGAAGTTAGAGCTTCCGTTTCCTTAGGCAACATCATACACGCAGAAAACGTCATGTTAGAGTGGGTGCCCCTAGAAGTACCAACAATACTGGACTCTTAGTAAAACACTGATATATTTTTTCTTAATATCTGTTCACCTTTTGCCCATTTTCTTGTGGAACAAAGCAGGAGCTGGGGCGGGTGTGTGCCCTTTTTTGGTGCACTTACATGTTTGGGCTTAGAGTGCTCACACTATTGTTTCTTGGCGTGACTTTTGCTCCCCTCAGAAGGATGTCGGGGCCCACACTGGAGGAGGCCACCACTTGCACACACGCGGAGTTTCACCCAATACCGTGAGGGGCCTGAAACCTCTTCCTGCCTTTGTCTGTTACCCAAAAAAACCATCACACTTAGTAAGATGCATTTAGATATGAGAAACACTGGTCTCTGGCTCGCCCTTTCATTGAGTTTTCAATCTGTTTTGGGCAGCAGGCTCGTTTTTGTACCAGGCAAATATGGGAAATACATCGTGGGTGAAAATTCAGTCTACAAGTGTCTGTATCCAGAAAAGGTGACTTTGATTGTTTGTAACAGTTTCTCACTCATGTTCACTTTTCCCTTTTCACAAAAACGAAATCACAGGCACGTGCAAATCCCTCTGCCTCCTTTCCGGGGCTGTGTCCAAGTTTCAGCGAGTGTAGTGGTGCCCAGCCTAAGGGAGGGAAGTAGCGGGCATCAGTTCATGGAACCTAAGTCTGTCTACCTTGGTGTCCAGTGAGATCACCCTTTCTCACACAATTTGCTTCTTCCCTACAAGTCTCAAGGGCACAGAAAATCATCCTTTGACTTACTGCCTTGCTACTCTGTGTTTCTGAGAGACTCGGGAAGACTGTCTTTCAGGCAGTGCTCTCATTGCCTTCATGAAGCCATCCCTCTGTGAATGCTCCTGCAGTGGCAGGAAGCCAAGGGAATTCTCAGAGGCTTTGCCCCCTGCATGGCTCCATCTGGTAGAGAGACATGTGTCTCCTGAGACCTCAGCTTCTGTCATTCCCCTTGGTCTGACCCACTGCAAGTCCTGTAATTGGCAGAGGGTGGTTAAGAAAGGAGTCTCTCATCAGTCAGGTGCCCATCTGCTTCTCAGCAACTTGTACCAGCCCTTTGATGTTTTTCCCAGCTGGAGTAATCTTCGATGTAGGGAGTTTCCTAGTGCTGACTGATCACTGATACTCTGAGCACACTCAGGGTTTAGATCTACAATGTCCGATAGAACTTTCTGTGATGATGGACGTGTTCTATATGTGTACTTTCCATTACGATAGCCACAATCACACGTGTCTAGCGTGACCAATGAATGGAATGTTTCATTTTAATTGATTTAAATTCAAGTAGCTCCATGTGGATAGAAGCTGCCATGGTGAACAACACAGGTCTAGAATTTTGAAACTGAACAACCAAGAATTAATGTCTTTATTTTCTATGCTGTGCTGGGACAATCGGTCGCTAAGGTAAAGGTGGGATATTATCTGGCCCAGCTAGATACAAGGGAGTATGCGTGTCTTGGAAGGGGCAGCATGAAACACATAGGTTACTATTTTAAAATACTATCTTGGCCAGGTGCAGTGGCTCATGCCTGTAATACCAGCACATTGGGAGCCCGAGGCAGGTGGATCACCTGAGGTCAGGAGTTGGAGACCAGCCTGGGCAATATGGTGAAACCCTGTCTCTACTAAAAATACAACATTAGCCAGGCATGGTGGCTGGCACCTGTAATCCCAGCAATTCTGGAGGCTGAGGCAGGAGAATCACTTGAACCCAGGAGGCAGAGGTTGCAGTAATCTGAGATCACACCACTGCACACCAGTCTGGGCTACAGAGTGAGACTCCATCTCAAAAAAGAAAAATAGTATCATACATAAATACATAAAAATTCATGCTGCCCCAATTAAATTTGTGGGCAACCCAGAACCTGCCCCTTGCCTTTGCCCATCCCTTAACCACTGCAGAAGATACTGAGGCACCTCCGACAGATCACAAGCATCCCTGAAAACTGCTTTGGAAACCTCTGAGCTGGTTATAGCTCAAATCCAGTCTGGTGCTGACACTCCAGGATGTAGACATCTCTATATCTATAGACAGAAGCTCTACATCTGCTAAGATGTAGATGAGGAAGTCGTGACTTCCAAAGGGTGGTGACTTGCATCAAGCACATAATCCATTTCTAGAAGGTTCTGAGAGCCAGTTCTGCCATAATCTATTCAGACAACTTTTCTCCCCACTTCATAGTCTTCTGTAGGACTCTAACCCTGACATTACACAGTTCCATCTCACTGGAAATAATGATTTCCTGGAGAAAGGGTTCTGTTGCTCTAGCACTGTGTATGGCAGGGCATCTACTGGTCAGTGATGGGGAAGACAAATTCATTATGCGGGGATTGTAGAATGTGAGCAGAGACCTCAGGCAAAAGTAATTTCCACAACCAGTATCCTCTCTGGTTCTGTGTGTCTCTCTTTCCCCTTTACATAGGTAGCAATCCCTGTACCCACCATCCATCTTTTGGAAATGCTAAAGGTGTTCTGAATAAGGAAAATGTTGTATTCCTTAACTCTAACTTCTAACCTAAGGAAGTAGGCTCTGTGTTTAAGTTAATTTAATTCAGCTGCTCTAACAAATGAATTTAATGCAATGTGTAATGACTCAAATTGATTGAGGTTTATTTCTCTCTCATATAAAGACCAAAATGGCTTTTCTTAATGAGTGGGTGGCTTGCTTCCAAGTAATGATTAAGAGACCCAGATTCCCAAACTCCTTTACTCAATTCATGATTAAGAGTAATCTTTAAGATATCTGCCAGTTTCAGCAGGAGGCATCCTAGGTTCAATGCTAGGTTTGTTAGCATCATGGGAGATAAACTCAGGGAAGTTTCATGGACCAAGCCAGGCCAATTTCCTCTCCTTGTCACATGATCAGACCTAAGTACAAAGGAGGCTGGGAGATGAAGTCCTAGTTATGTATCCAGGAAGACAAAGAAATGAGTTTGTCCAACTGCCAGCCAGTTTCACTACCCTTCTAAGCCAACATTTGGCAAACTTTCTGTAAAAGGCCAGATAGTAAAATATTTCTGGCTTTGCAGATCATACTGTTTCTCTCTCAACCACTCACCTCTGCTATGATACTATGAAAGTAACCACAGACAATTTAAAAAAAAAAAAAAAAAAAAGGAATGGCAGGACTTCCAATGAAGTTTCATTAGAAAAACAGGCAGCAGCCAACTATGTCCTGAGAAATGGCATTTATTTGTCAGTCTCTGTTGTAACTCAGGGAAAACACTTATTCCCAAGCAAAACACAGAACAAAGCACATTTTAGACTATCTGCAAAGAACTGAAAAAGTTATGTCCATTTTCACTGCTGGAGACAGCGAAAGAAAATGGATTAAGAGGAATAAAAGGAATCAGAAACATTTAATTAATCCTTTATAAAAGAGAAATGTTTTCAGCTGTGCTTGGAAGGGAAAGAGTGATAGCTATAGGAAGAGGACATTTATTTAAAATGTAAATTTCAGGATTCCCGGTTCCTGGGCCCCAACCCCAAAATACTAAAATTTTGGGGTTGGGGCCCAGGAACCTGCATTTTCCATATGCTCCCCTGCTCATTTTAAGCAAGTGGTAGAGGGCGCGAGTGATCGTAATTTGCTTATACTGCCAAGCCATCAGTTTTTCTGACATTTGTGGATGCAACTAGTTATGAGCCTGCAGAATACATGGGAAATAAGGTACCATGCATATGCAAAGCCACTGACCCAGGGAAGCCTAACTAACTTTTCTTTTACCTTCAAGGAAGCTATCAGACTACAAGGGTGTGAGTGTTCTTAAAAGTCTTCCTAATTTATTTTTTTAATGAATTAACTTGGGACTCTAACTTACAACTAACAGGTTGCCTTATAGTGGAACCCACAATTAGATGCAAAGCAAGGGGCAGAGAGTCAAGACTTCAAACTAGGCTGTGACTCGGCAGGCAGTTTAGCTTCTTTCAGGCATTCCATCACTTGCTTCCCTCCTCTGCAAATATCGACCCCCAGGTCTGAGAAGGGACAGTGTTTGCACTGGCAGGGGAGATCCGCAGTCTTGTGGAATGAGTTGACACAGCTGGAAGATCCCAATTCCAAACGCCATGTTATTTCCTTTCTCCTTCCCAGGATGCAGCTAAAAGTTCTCCCTTTGCAGTCTAGGAAAGATTCAACCCTGTCCAAGGCTTCCTTCCTGTTGCCCAGCAACCCAGAATGAGAGAGGCAAACTGACCTGGAGACTCAGGGAGGGACTAGCTGTCAATGCAGGGTGCTAATGGGCACCTCAGCAGAGAGAGGCAAAACTGCTTTCTGAGTGACCTTGAGAAAGCCACTGCAGGAATTCCTAGGGAAAGGAGTCCCAGACAGCCGTCAGCGTGTTCCCGTTTCAAAGATGTATTCAAAACAGAAGGAAAAAGAAAGCTGCCATCAGACCCCCTGCTTTTCCCTAGAAATAGCCAGTCATCTACCATCAGAGTTGTTGGAGATATTTTAAATTCCCTTAGCAAGAAGACTGCAAAGCATTGAAGAGTGAAGAGCAAATCGATATAGTGTTTCCACAGTTCACCACCCAACTCAGAGATAAGAAAGAAAAAACGACCGGAAGATTTCTTCTTCTGGTAGAGGGTGGGACTCCTGAGCTCATGTCTGGTTTCTGAGCATGGAAATGTGCCCTTAACTGAACAGATCTACATGTTTCTTGAGTCCCCATGTCTCTGAGATGATGTCCGGCAACCTCCTCTCACCTGTCTGTCTATGATAATGGACTGCTAAACCCTCTTTGACTCAAAAGCCTGGCACTGTCCTGGGCTCAGGTTGATACTCTGGCACCTGAGCAGCTCATCTCCCTGAAAAAGGAAGCCTTTATTTTTATTTTAGCGTCCTTTCCAGATGGGCTTGGTAAAATGCATGAATTCAGAAAATTCAAGCTGAAAGGGGCTTACACGGGCTTTGGTTCACTCCCCTAATGCAGACAAGGGGCTGCTCCTCAATGACTTCAGTGTAGATAGGCATCACCCCAGGAGCTTGTGAAAAATGTGGGTTTTGGAGCATCCCCGTCTCTGGGATCTACCTGAGTTGTCTGGGGTGGGGCCTGACAACTTGCATTTAACATAAACTCTTCAGGTGATTCTAATGCAGGCAGTAGACATGCTGCAGGTAACACTGAACAGATGTAAGTAGGATGCATGCAGGTTTCTGGGGGGGTGGGTGGCAGATTTGTTTTGTGTCAGAATTCCTTCTTGAAGCTGTAAGGGTAGAACCATCATCTCATCGGCAAGAGAATCCAGCAGTCTGACCAGCCTGTGTTAAGCAAACAACAAGATTTCTTTGTCCTGCTGGAATTTTCCTCCTGCCGAGCCCGTACTTCCTGTCTTTAACTTTTAGTGGCCCGGGATTACTTCTCTAACTCCTCCTCTTAAAAGCCAATGAACCCAAGGAGACTTAGGAGATACTCAAAGATGCTAGGCTATTCCTTTGGCTTTTTTTTTTTAATCATAGAAAAAACTTTATTGACAAACTTACAGACAAACTTCCCCCTTGGACTGCTTATTCACACCCCTTCTGACACCTTTTTAGAGTTACCACTCACTGCAAGGTAATGGATGACCACTTCGAGGTCATCCGTTGCTGCAGGAGATTCCGCCCATTGCTGTGCAGAGGCTTGTGGGCAGTGTCAGTGGATTGGAAGGAGCTGGCCTTTTCAGCTCTGCTGCCAGTGAGGCCTACCTAAGTGTTATGAATGTTCCTCACGCTGCCAGGGTGGCTGCTTCCCTTTCCTCTAGAGCTTCCTTTGGTGACAGCGGCCAGCATTTCCAGTTCTTGTGTCTTTCTAGCCCCATTTCATGCCGTGCTCTTCTTTAGCTCTTTCCTCAATGTTTCTGTATTAGGGAACTTCAGTGCCCAGCTCTGTATTAGTGCCTGAAGGTCCCTAATACAGAGCTGGGCATTGGGAAGGAGTAGAAGGGAACGTCCCAGTAGTTCAGAGAGGAGGTAGGTGGGGAGGTCAAGTATCTGGAACCATAGATAATAACACCCAAAGCAACCTGATCTTCCCAGCTCAAAGTAAAGGCTGTAGATGTCTCACTTAAATTAAGGTCTGTGTCACAAATTCACCTGACCTCTTTCCAGGGCAAAGCAATTTTAACTGAAGATCCACAATGCCTTTTAAAGGCAGACTATGGGACAAGTCACACAGGAAGTGCTGAGTTACTTGAAGACTTAAAGCAATTGCTATCGAGAATCCTAGAGTTTCTGCAGTCATAATTCACATCACAAGGAATAGCACAGGATGCAGCTTTGAGACAGAGCTGGATTCAAATCCCACTCTTGCTTTGTGAACTTGGATCAGTCAGTCACTAATGCTCTCTGGATGTTTAAGTAGCAATGTGTGTAAAAATGATACAAACTCCAAAAAAAAAAAAATAGTATTTATGCAACATTTACTATGTCCCTAATGTTGTATTAAGTGCTTTATATAATTTTTTTTTTTTTTGAGACAGAGTCTTTCCCTGTCACCCAGGCTGGAGCACAATGGCACAATCTCAGCTCATGGCAACCTCCGAGGGCCAGGTTCAAGTGATTCCCCTGCCTCAGCCTCCAGAGTAGCTGGGACTACATGCATGCACCACTATGCCTAGCTAATTTTTTGTATTTTAGTAGAGATGGTGTTTCACTGTGTTGGCCAGTATGGTCTCGATCTCCTGACCTTGTGATATACGCACCTCAGCCTCCCAAAGTCCTGGGATTATAGGTCTCAGCCACTGCGCCTGGCCGCTTTACATAATTTTTGAATTGAAAAATCACGCCAAGTCTATGAGATCTACAGTGTTATTTGTCCCGTTTTGTAGATGAAAAAGCTGAGGTGCCAAGAAGGGCGGAATCCATGTGAGTATTAACATGCCCTTAACACTGTGCTATGGTTGATCCACTGTGCTATTGTGGGGATTAAATGAGATATGTATATGAGGAGCTTAGCACAGCTCACAGCATACGGTGCTCAATAAATAATAACTACATGTACGACATATGTTTAATGGATGGATATGTCCCAGATGGAGTGACCTCCCAAAAAATAGGAATGGACACTCTTAATGAAAATATCATTTATTAGTTTTTATAAACTTGTATATTACATCTCCACTCCTAGGAAGGCTTTCTGGCTCCGTAAAAGTCACTCCCCCAGTAATCAGCATGATACCTTATTTCACCCATTAGCTGTGTCTTGATTTCTGCAGCGGAAGGGTTGCATTCCTGTGTGCACGTGTGCTTCTATATTAGACCAAGTGCCTTGGTACAGGGGTTGTATTTATTGCTCTGTAGCCCCGGGACTTAACCAGGAGACCTTTCCTTGCAGACTGCCTGGCTTTTCTTACTCAGCACTCAACAGGAGACTTGGGGATTTATCTTATAACCTGAGGAGCACGTGGGAAAAACAGCTACTCAAAACTTTGTGAAGAAAATTTCTAATTTGCTGGCTCCCCTGGTTTGTGGCTGGGGCTCACTGGCCTTCGTGAGGCAGATGGAGGAGATCTGACAAAGAGAGGAAAGAAGAAAGGCAGAGATGGGATAGGAAGAGCAAGGGGGCAGAGAGAGAGAGAGAGAGAGAGAGCGAGAGAGAGAGAGCGTGTGTGTGTGCACGCACGCGCATGTATTTTTCTGAGTCAGGGTCTCATTGTCTTAGCCAGGCTGGAGTGCAGTGGTATGACCAGAGCTCACTATAGCCTCAAACAATCATCCCACCTCAGCCTCCCAAGTAGCTGGTCCTACAGGCAAGTACCACCACACCTGGCTAATTTTTGGTTTTGGTTTTTGCTTTTGTTTTGTTTGTAGAGACAGGGTTCTCACTATGTTGCCCAGGCTGGTCTTGAATTCTCTTGCCTCGGCCTCCCAAAGCATGAGCCACCACACCTGGCCAGAGTAATGTTTTCCATAAAATTATAAAAATTTTAAACTGGGAGTTGCTTAGAGAGTAGCTATTCCAACGTCTCACTTTTATCAGTAAGGTCAGAAAGTTCCAGAGAAGTTAATTGCACAAAGTTACACAGCTACAGATGATGTGTCGCTTTTGGACAATTGAAGCAGAAACTTCTGCAGCCTGTCCATGCTTGCACAAATGCACGCATATCGGTGAATCCTGGCTTTTGGAACCGCGTGGCTGAGAGGCTCCTGGAACTGTCCCTACACAGAGTTATCTGCAGTCATTAACGCACACCTGCAGGAGCTTCCCTGCCGGATGCAGGGTCACCAGAAAGCAGACCCTCAACCTGCTCTTGTGGGAGGACCCTTTACCTCCTGGGCTTAACAACAGCCCTGTAGGGGAGGGGTGGGAGGGAAGGATGATTGTGATGACAAGGAGATGCCCCAGAGCCACTTTTGTTTTGTCCTTTGCTGATACACAAAAAAACAGGCTGGAGCAAATGTATCAACTTGTAGAGGGGGCTGCTTTGATGTTTGTCCAGTTAGTTGTTTGTGATTCATTCTATGTGGATAGATAGCCCTTATCAATGACAAGGTTTATGCTTTTTGCCCTCCTGGAAGTTTGGTTCTATAATCTATAATGTCACTGCTGCCTTCTGAGGTTTGTTTTGTTTTTTTTTGTTTTGTTTGTTTGTTTGTGTTGTTGTGCTGGAGTCTCACTCTGTCGCCCAGGCTGGAGTGCAGTGGCATGATCTTGGCTTACGGCCACCTTCCCCTGCTGGGTTCAAGGAATTCTCCTGTCTTAGCCTCCTGAGTAGCTGGGACTACAGGCATGCACCACCACACCTGGCAAATTTTTGGATTTTTGGTAGAGACGGGGTTTTACCACGTCGGTCAGGCTGGTCTTGAACTCCTGATCTCAGGTGATCCACTCACCCAGCCTCCCAAAGTGCTGGGATTACAAGCATGAACCACTGCACCCAGCCGGAGGTTGCTTCTTAATGCTCCTACACTGAGAGGTAGACCACCTTCTCTGCCCCATTTCACTTTCTTCCCTTCATTCCTGTGTACAGACATCACTGTTTTCTAGTTCAGGGCAGTGAAGGAAAGTGCATGTGAAGGAAGCTGGCTTTGCATTGGTCTTAACATTGGTATTGACCTATCTTATTTTTTTTAATTTTTGAGATAGAGTTTCACTCTTGTTGCACAGGCTGGAGTCCAGTGGTGTGCTCACTGCTCACTACAAGCTTGACCTCCCGGGTTCAAGTGATTCTCCTGCCTCAGCCTCCTGCACAGCTGGGATTACAGGCATCTGCCACCATCCCCAGCTAATTTTGTATTTTTAGTAGAGATGAGGTTTCTCCATGTTGGTCAGGCTGGTCTTGAACTCCCGACCTCAGGTGATCTGCCCACCTTGGCCTGCCAAAGTGCTGGGATTACAGCGTGAGCCCCACGCCCAGTGACCTATCTTTTTTAAGTCTGTCCTAGGCTTCAACCAAAGAAAAGCTCTGCCTGTGGCTAGTCTTTCTCCTCTCCATCTCACCATCCTCTCCCCCACCAACACTTCAGGTTTCCTGGCTCTCATCAAATTTACACTGACTTTCCACTCCATGTACTTAGGTGTTCAGGTCCTGGCCAATTTTGGTTCAGAAAATTTGCTGGATATATGTAGCTGGAGAGAGAGAGAATAAGAATGTATGTATAATGTAGAAAGGCAGGTGACACTACCAGATAAAATTATCTTCTTGAGTGATTCGGTCCCTTTGTGTCATGCCATAAAGATTATGATCACTCCGTGAGTGCGTCATAAAGCTTTGAGATATCGAGTGAAAACAACTGCCCTTCCTCCCTCGCTCACTCTTTCTCCCTCCCTCCCTGCCTGCCTGCTTCCCTCCCTCCTCCCTTTCTCCCTCCCTCCTCTCTCCTTCTCTCCTTCCTTTTCTCTGTCCCTCCCTTTCTCCCTCCCTCCTCCCTCCTTTTCTCCCTCCCTCCCTATATTCCTCCCTTCCTCCCTCCCTTAATCCCTTCCTCCTCCCTCCTTTTCTCCCTCCCTTCTCCCTCCTCCCTCCCTCCCTCCTCCCTTCCTCCCTCCCTCCTTCCTTCTTCCTTCCTCCCTCCTTTCTTCCTCCCTCCCTCCTTCCCTCCCTCCCTCCTTTTCTTTCTTCCTCTCTCCCCTCCTTCCTTCCTTCCACAAAATGCTCTCTGTAATACAAGCTTCTCTGTAATACCAGGCAGGCAGACCTCGAAGTTTCTGTGAGGCCTTTTATAACTCTTTTATCCTTCTCCCTCATCCACTCAGTGCAATACGTATCGCACGCAGGAACTACAGCGTGAACAACACAGGCAGTCTCTCTTCTCAGGGAGCCAAGAGCCTAGAGGCCTGCAAACCAGAGCGGGTATGCAGATCTATAAAGGAGGCAATTTGGTGCAAGTGGCGTGGAAACACAGAACAGGTCAGTGCGAGGAAGAGGGAAGAGGTATGGAGCTGTAGGTTTGGAGGGCAGGTGAATGCATATTGGAGCAGAGACCTGAATGTGTAGAAGGAGCCAGCCCTGCTCAAAACACGTTTGTCTTTCGAGGAGCTGCCCGGGGCCCCAGCTGCCCTGGACCTCCTATTTATCCCCGGTTTAATTCCACATGAGCCTTCACCTAAGAACGGGCGTAAAAGGCAGAGGTCAAGCAGCTGCTGAAAGTGGAGTAACCCAATCCCGGGCACCAGTCGGCCTTTAATAAGCATCCAGGTGACCCTTTGAAAAATGAAACCTGTGGTCAGGTCTCCGAGAGCAGAAGGATCGGGTTTTAGTTTTAATAACAAAACCAAAGAGCTGTCCCTTCCTAGGGCCCGTTTTGCTCCATGTCCGCTTCCCCCAGAAGAGGGCTTCCTGCCTCCCATCCTGGGGGCCCTGACCTGCTTACCTGGCACAGAGGTGGGCCACTCTGGGTGCAGCCCGGGGAGCTTGAGTCCAAGCTTGCGAAATGGTAGGATGGAAGCAGAGACCCCTCGTGGGGTGTGAAAACAGGTGACGAAAGCATGTGGGAGGTGGGAACTGGGTTTGGGGGTTGTTGGAGTTCATATTTGTGGGCTATGATGACATCATAGAAGGATGGGACAGCTCTGAAGTCCAGGAGAATGTGCACATCTTTTCCTCTCCTTTGCCCCAGGCACCTGGGCAGAACCTCTGCTCAGTGGAAGATAAAGTGATAAGATATGAGTGTGGGCAGTGCTAGTAAAAGCCCCCTTTTAATTGATCACATTCTTCTTACTTGCTGTGTGCTAGACACTGGATTAAGCAGCACACCTGCGTTATTTTGCTTAACTTTGTCAACATTTTATACAGTGGGTGGTAGCACTATTCCCATTTTATAGATGCAGAAAGTGAGGCTCAGAGAGTTAAGTGGCCCAGGTTCCTCCGTGAGTAGGCGGTGGCCAGCGTTCATCCCAGTTCTGACTAAAGAGTCCAGACACTTGACATCTTTGCTTCACTGCCTCTTCGTGTAAGCTCCGGACCTGCCGTCGTAAGACAAATGGAAAGAGGTGACCTACCTTCCTAAAGGCGTTTTCCAAAGTGATTTCTGAAGGTATCTGATATGATATGGGCAACTTTCCAGAATTAGCTCAGTTGTTCAAGGTTTCATGTATGCATAAGTGATGTGGGGGCTGGGGGTTGAGAAGAGGTGAGAAGGAGAGACAGGGTGGAGAACAATTTCCAAGGCGGGATCTTTGCTTTATTTGATTCCAGTAAATTTTAACGAGGCCCTTAATGAAATCCCAGTGCTTAGCAGAGCCTCCACATTTACAAGTTGCCAGACCCGGGGCGGAAGAAGGGAACTTGGAATCCTGGCGCTAAGCTTAGTCCTGCTGACCTTTCACAGTTCAGGCGAGCCAGACTTGTAGGAATGAGCATTGCACTCTGAGCAGAGCATTCCTGCCCAGATCAAGGGGCCAGAATCCTGACCCTGACACAAGGCTGGTCCCATCTCCTTCGAGCAAACCCCTTTCCTCCATGGTATGTTCCACGGACATGCCTGAAGTGGATGGCTGCCGGTCGGTGAGACACTAGAAGGAAATACACACAGTTATCACAGGTCAGCAGAGCTTCATGCCATTTTGCTTCAGAATTGTTACAAGATGAAGTCCTCTTGGCAATCACCAAAATCCTCATCTCATCTCCCAATCTACAAGATGCCCTTTCCTGTACCCCCCAATAATGGCTTTCATCAATGATGAAGAGTTATTGTTTGTATTCACTGTTTAGTAGATAATAAATCATATTTATAACATAACAAGTTATAAAGAATAAAAAATGACAATAAAACTGGTTCCTATCTTCCAGCACCTAGTTAAACCGAAAAAAAAGAAAGAATATTGCCCTGTTTTTGAAGTCCCCTATGTTGAATGAATAAATGATATTTTTATCAAAGTAGGCAGTGCTATACATGGGGCTTCCCCCAGAATCATATTCCGTATTTCCTACAAGATTCATGCTTAACAACAACAAAAAAGAGCATCAGCTTTTGTAATAGCAAAAACAGCTGCAGCGCATTTGCTGACAATAACATCAGGTTACTTTTCAAGTCTGGTTGAGTGTTTTCCCTTCCCTTTGACCTGATGTCCATAAGTAAAGATTTTAGGATGTGTAAAACCCTGAGCTCTGACAGAGCGGGCCCCTCCTCTCCCTCGGCAAATGACTGTCTTGAGTGTGCTGGGCAGTGCATTCCTCAGCCTTCCTCCTTGGGAGTCCACAAGGCACCCCCGAAAGTCTGGCCTCCTTCTTTGCACGGCTCTCTTCTCCATAAATCATCAGCTGCACTGTCCTCATGGAGCCGCAGAGGAATGAAGCCATCTTTTCTTTCTGTTTGTAGATGGGTGTCGCCTGGCCTGGAAGATGATAAACAGAGCTTTAGTAGCTAGAGCTATTACAGTATTACAGTTTTTTCCTAGAAGCCACAAGCAGTGGAGACGTCCTGCAGTCCCCTCTCCAAATTAAATCTTTTCATAGTTCTGGCTTTTCTACAGACTGGAGAGAGGTAATGTGGAATCAGACACACCAAAAACTTCAGGGTTCACAACGGCTTCTGCGAGGCATTTTGGAACTGAACTCGGTGATGTCATTTCTGGGACACAGAAGCCTGGGCCAGGCTGAGACTCAGAAGCAATTCAGGATCCAGGAGCAGAGCTGGACTGGAGGATGAAGCAGGTGCCGGTTACAGCTTTGGCCCATATACACTTAGACTCTTCAGTGGGCTTAGCTTCCCTGAGCCCTGCTCTTTTTTTTTTGGGAAATAATTAGACTCAGATTTCTCATCTCAGTAGGTTATGGGGAGAATCAAGTGACATCGTCTATGTGAAGGGGCTTCATATAGTGTAAAGCACTTTAAAAATAAAAGGCATTATTTTCCGATAGGGATGAATCTCATTCCACACATTCAGTTTTACAAACTCAGGTATGAGTTTTAGTCCACGTCATTTTGTCAATTTAATTTCTATTTCACAATCTATCTAAGGCTGCCAGATCTAGCAAATAGAAATACAGGACACCCAGTACAGGGCATCCTATAATTCACTGGCAACTTCAGCCCTACCCCTCCAGGCCACCATCCAGGAAACTGTGGTCAAAATCACTCAAGTTCCACCCTCAGTCTGGGCTGTAGTTCTAGGGACTTGTGCAACATCAAAATAAAGGAGTGACCAAGCAAGTTAACCCTGGGTAGCCCCTTCCCCTTATCCTTGTTCACATGGTATTGTCAGGGGAAGAAACTCTCTGTGATCACACTGGGTACCTGAGAAGTTTCTGCCAAATCACCTCTGGTCCTGTGTTTGCTTAGACATTCCACACAGCCATTTTTTAGGGTCTTGTTCAGACAAAATTCATGATATTAGGTCCCCTTTGTCAAGCACCCTACTATGCTTTTACCCATAAAACCTCATTGGGCTCCTTCCTCCTCCAAAACTCCATTGGTTCACCTCTAGACAACAGCTTTTGGCCTTTCAAAGCCAGGGAGTCTTGCATGCTACTTTTCCTTTCTGTTTTACAAGATACCATCCCTGAGGCAGTGAAGACAAGGCTGATTGGCTACTTGCTTGAGGAAAGAGAATAGGAAATAAATGAAAAATAAATATAAATTAATAGTTCAAAATATGCTCCAGCCATAATTAAAATTATGTTCATCTAGTATGTATTTAATTATGCTCTATATTACAGCATTCTTTTCTGAGTCTTTTCCTGACCCATATTTATAATTCTGAGAGGGAGAGGCATATACTTCATTACATCTGACGTCTTACCTGAAGTACTCAGTGGATGCTCATTGAACTTATTTTAGTGGCTTACAGATACTTAACATGATGTTGGGATGTAGCATCAACCAGCTACGAGATTGTCACTATCTGTATCCTAAGCTTCTTTTAGGAAAGGTAGCTGCTTTCAGTGATGGCAACAGTCCAAATATTACAGCCCTGGTTTACTACAGGTGTGTTCTTCATGGGTGTCTGGGTGGGGCCAGGGAGTCTGGTGCAGAAAGGTGACCTGGAAAGGAGCTGGTGGCTACAGAGAATGCTTGCTCTTTGGCAAAGAGGGAACAGCCTGTTTGCAAACAGACTCCCACATAGGACATTTGGCATCATTTCTCACTAATGACATCTTTCTGAGAGCCTTGCAGAGCTTGTCTGCTGACTCACCCAAGTTACGGTCACCCAGAGACACAACTATGTGGGATCTGGAAAGTGAATTAGCAGGTGGTTGGTCTCCGAAGGTGCAGGGGAGGACATGGATGTAGAATGGGAGTCTCACGAGGAGGAAAACCATCTTCTAGTTTAATGCCTTTCAAGGACCATGTGCACTTGCTTTGTGCTCCAGGATAATGGCTTCCTCCTAATTAACCTTTCCTGGTTCTCGTTCTCTGTCTGTCTCTGTCTCTGTCTGTCTGTCTGTCTGTCTCTCTCTCTCTCTCTCTCAAGTAACTTTGGCTCATATTGAAATGATACCTTGGGTGCAGAGAGGTCAAGCTGCCTTTGTTCAAATCCCAACCCGACCAGCTGTGTGACCGCACACAGATTACTTAATCTCTGAACTCCAGTTTCTCCATCAGTCCCATGCACATAATGACAGCACATGAATAGGCTCATGCGGTAGTTGGGGCGATTACGTGAGAAAATGTGTTCAAGTGTTTGCTGTAGTACCTGGAAAATAATAAGGGCTTAGTGAATGTTTGCTATTATTGCTTTCAAAATAATTTACCTGTGAGACAAAGAAAAGGCAGGAATATTTTTTATTTGAAACAGAGGATGCTCCCTATCACTCGTGGGTACATGGCTCACATCTAGCTGCCCCATGGCCTAAAGAACTCTGGGAAGGTGTTTAATACACAATTGGGGCCAGGTGTGGTGACCCTCGCCTGCAATCCAGGCACTTTGGGAGGCCGAGGCAGGTGGATTGCCTGAGGTCAGGAGTTCACGGCCAGCCTGGCCAATGTGGGAAAATGCATCTCTGCTAAAAATACAAAACTTGGCCGGGTGTGGTGGTGCATGGCTGTGATCCTGGCTGCTTGGGAGGCTGAGGTGGGAGAATCACTTGAACCCAGGAGGTTGAAGTAAGCCAAAATTGTGCCATTACACTCCAGGCTGGAAGACAAGAGTGAGACTTTGTCACAGAAAAAAAAGAAAAGAAAAAGAGGATGTGAGGCAGGAGGATTACTGGAGTCCAGGAGTTTGAGACCAACCTGGGCAACATAGGGAGACCATCTCTCTATTTTTACTAAAAAGTTAAACAAACAAACAAACAAACAAAAAACAGATGACGAGACACAGAGAGACTGTGTGGCTCATCCATACTCACAAGGGAAGTCAGTAGTTAACCTGGGAGCCCCTCTTTCTCAATAAAAAGATAGGGTGAGCCAGGTACACAGGTCTGGTCTTGTCTGGGCCCACCTGCCCAGGAGGTCTGTGGACTTCTCTGGCTCCATCCAGATGTCAGCTCTAGATGCTGCTATGGCCTCTTCTCCAAGCCCCTGTGCTCCTCTGCATGGCCAGGGAA